TTGCTTTATCTGCATTTTACTCATTGTTGTCTTCCCTCTTTTTTCTCCCCCCTGTCCTCTCCTCATTAGCATCCCAGCAGCTGTCTGGCTACTGGACGCTGCCTCATTATGCTGGAACACAGCGACAGCTCGTTCTGGTGCTGCAGCACCTCAGTCCCGCTTGTCCACCTGTACATTTGGTTGTTTAATGGTTGCATTGAAAGTTTCATTTCATTTTCTGGATTCAGAAGACAGGCGCAAATAAAAATGAACGCAGAGTTGAGACAGAAGGCTGCGTCATGGGTCGCCCTGGACACGTGTGCTCCGTGTGTGGCGAGTTTTTTTAATCTACTTCTCGATGCTTTCACTCGTCGGTTTCTGCCTCCGTTTGGGATTTCCTGCATTTTTGGGCAATTACCTTCGATACTTGTCAGAGAGCAGGCACGGACCTGTTGTATCCATCTGTGGGCGTTCGAGCAGGTGAGGCGAGCATTAGTGATGCTGCAGCATGACAAGAGAGAGAGAGAAGGAGCGAGTGTGCGTCGGACCAGATTTTCACAGGAATCAGAATCTGTGCTCGTCCCAATCAAGTGTTTTATTGCCTGAGAGCCAAATCTGAGTCGTGTGATTGTCTGCCAACATAAATCCCGATTACACTGCTCTTTGTTTTCCTACATAATACAGCTGCACAGTGCACATTCGATCTAAAGTAGGCCTACAGTAAATTCAGTCATGTTGGACATCTGGATTACAAAAGCAGCGAGTATCACACGCTCCTTAAAAGGTTCCTCTGGTATCTCTTATCGTCTCCTTTAATATTTTCTACAACACCCACAGAACAGGATTCATACTGGGTGATTCATTGTTGAAAGTTGTTTACGGGGTGAAAGGTTTTATTTCTGCGACAAAGAATTATTTTCTCGGTTTGTGCGTTTCGTCCATTTGTCGGTGAAATGGATGAAACGTGGAGTTTCCTGCCGTGTGTTGCAGCGTGTGCTGCTGCAGCTGCGTGGACTCGGGTCTGGGTGGCAGGTCGGAGAGGCCTCAGGAAAGACGAGGCTCTGTGGAGGCTGTTTATACCTCAGGAAGCCCTCGCCTCTCTCAAAGCAAAACACAAATGGCAGGAGAACAGAGTGCAGAGCTGTTGTTGACGCCGTGCGCTGGTGGATTGTTGGCTCGAGTGGAGGGAAGAGGAATACCGACGCCGGACCTAAAGAAAGGTCGTTTTTACTGTAGTCAACAAACAACAATCCATGTTTCCTGTTATCAAGTAATTATCGAAGCCTGATGCATCTTTTCTTCCTCTGAGCCACACCGTCACACTGGGCGGCACCGCGCCGTCGTTTACTGCGTCTCAACAACACACGTGACATCCTGCCGTCCACGAAACGCACCGGAGCAACACATGTGGAAGAATCCGCCTCTGAAACGAATCCTCTCTTCTGCTGTGCGAGGAACGTTTGACAAGAACGACAGCGTCCAGCTGTTCTTCTGATGATAACTTGTATCTAGAATCATTCTGGAGGTTTTCTCGAGGTTTTACATCTTCAGCAGGAGCCGATGGGTTCGGAGATGAGAGCCAAGGAGAGGGTGGTGATGTCAGGACACGTTGAGAGACGGACGACACATTTGTTGGTCTTGGATGGTGTTTTTTAACAAATCTGTAAAATCTTTTATCAAAGTATTTTTTTTGGTATCACTCCTGAAATGTTATCATAGTTTTTACAAAGAGCCCAGAACTTGTGTCTGTTACTGATTCATGTCCCAGACCAGCGATAACAACCTCTGCAGAATTGGAAAGTGAAGAGTTGTAATGACGGCGTCTGAAAGTGATTAAGTGCAGTTTCTGTTGCCGTCCATTTTTCTTTATGACGCCGTCTTAGGTGTCTTGTTGCATCACCTGGAGGAAGATGCTTTCCAAAACAAAGGAACACCTTGACAACCAGCTGTTGTGTTGAGGCTGATGCTTCCGCACCGCGTCTCCTTCCAGGTGTTTCAGCATCCACCATGTAAACACAGGATAAATCTGAGGAATCTTAAAAACATCGAAGAGATAAGAAGCAAAGAAACTTTTACTTTCTCAAGAAAACGGTGCAGAGCTTCGAGCCGAGTGTTCGCTTCTTTTATTACCTTCCACCAAAGACGGTATATTCGCGGCCCTGTCCGTGTGTTAGTTGGTTTGTTGGTTTTTTCAGCAAGATAACGTAGAAACTACAGAACAGATTTCCTCGAAACATTAGTGGAATGATGGGACAGGAGCCAAAAAAGAACTCATTAAACTCTGGCATGGATCCCAGTATGAGGCGTGTTCAAGGATCTGGGATTGTGTGAAATGTGGAGCAGCTGTATTGAAGTTAAAGGGAATGTTGGGCCTTGGAAGCTGTTTTAGTTTGAAGGTCTTAAATATTTGATATCTTAATTTCTTTTATCTCTTTTGTTAAACAATTAGATTTCTAGAACACGTGTATTCATACTCATTAGGCGACACAATACATATTCAAGCTAATGTTCCCATGTTGTATTTTTTGCAGCATGTCTGTGGATGAGTGCACGTGATGTCCGTGTTATCTCACATGTTTCTAGACGACGGAAGATGACGGAGGAGGAAAAACACGACTAGATAAATTTGAGCTGCCGGTGTGAACAGTCTCGACTTCAGTTCAGAGATCACCGCTGTTACAAGTGAGGAGCTGCAAAGAGGTCGAAGGTCAAAGCGCCACCGTCTGACACTCCGGTGACGGGCAGCTTGGAAAACAAACCGGTCACTCGTAGCTCGTTGCTGTCGTCCTGATTCTCTGCTCAGATCTGAAGGCCCTTGTTTTTGAATGCGCTCTCTCCGCGGCCCTCTCCCTGCTGCTCTCCCTGGTAACAGCGGCCTCTCTTAGCTCCTCCAGCTCTGAGGGAGCTCACGATTGGTCTTTATTTTTATATCTAATTGCTGGAGATGAACAGCAGTGAGTGAGAGCCTGGGTGTTTCAGGTGGTGGGTGTGGGACTGAAATCTGTGGCAGTGTGTTGACTCGCTGTGAGACGCTCGGAGATGGAGGGTTTTCGAACTCCAGCACAATAGAATGTTAACATCCACAGTTAATGAACCGAAGACAATAAACACTTTGGATTCTATAAATGCAAACTGAAATTCAAATAAACACAGCAAAATATAAATGTTAAATCGAACCCGAAAACACATTGAATCCAGTTAATCACTTTATTTATTATTCCGCCTGAACCAGTAACTCTTCCCTCAGTCCACTGAAGATGACGCTGACAGCATCGTTGCTTCCAGCTGTGTCGTCCAGCTCAGCTTCAGCTCGGGTTGCAGCAGTGACCCCCCCGCCAGGCCGCTGAGCCTCTATTCCTTGAGAACGAGCTAAAGGGCCTTTCCTATGTCGCCCTTCCTCGTCTGTTCCCCATCTCTTATTATTTCCGGCCTGGCTCCGATGAAGTCGGGGCTGGATATCCTGAGCGGGGGAGCGGGGGAACAGAAAAGCATTTCACCAAGCAGGAAAACTGAAAAAGCATTTTGGTTATCAAGCCCTCGCAGACCTCGCTCCGACGCCCTCCGTTTGTGCTTCCTTCATTTTCCCGTTCTTTCCCTCTTTGGTCTTCCTCATTCTTGAACGGAGGAATGTTTGACCTGAGGTTTCGCCTTCTCTCTGATCTGTGTTAACAACAGACGTTCCTCGAAGCCTCTTGGATTCTAGAATCCCACTGAACACCGGGTTGTTGGGTCAAGTCCCACAACAGGAACCGTCCCTGGAATGTCATTCAGAAGTTTTGTGATTTTGACGCCGGTTGCAAACCGACCCAAAATACTTGACCTGTTGAATGTTGAAAGTCTTTTTCTGTAGCGCTGGAAAAGTAGTGGACTCGACTCAGCTCAGGGAATAATTCATCAAACAAAAACAAAATTGAATCATTGCACATCATTTTAAATTCAATCAGTGCAGAACGTAACAGTTTTCCTTCCGTGTGTTTTTTAATTGTCCGACATGTTTTTTTTCCACTTGTCCAGATGAGGAGCTGCTGATCGAGCGCAGCATCCACAAAGGAACCATCAACCCTGGAGAGGAGAAGCAGACGGTGGAGTACAAGAGCCTGATCGCCAGACTGGAGTACACCATCCGAGTGCGCTGCGACGAGCACTACTACGGCAGCAAGTGCAACAAAGTGTGTCGTCCCCGCGATGACTACTTTGGCCACTACGTGTGCGATCAGCAGGGAAACCGAGGCTGCATGGAGGGTTGGACCGGGCCCGACTGCAAGACAGGTGAGGATGTCGGTCGTACTGGAAACAACGTGATCCACATGTCCGACACGAGAGAGGATTAATGAGCAGATATTTTAGTTTTTACAGATTCCAACAGACTGAGAAGATCCTCTGAGTTTCATAAACCAATCCAGAGGCCTCAGTTTGAAATATTCTATTTTGGACGAGGACTGATCCTAATGTGTCACTTTCCCTCTCTTCCCCCGTAGCCATCTGCAAACAAGGATGCAGCGTCCTGCACGGGACGTGCAGCGTCCCGGGGGAATGCAAGTAAGTCGTGTTTTTGTCCTTTGGTTTTCCTCCGCGTCACCGTGCAGCTGCCGACTGTTGCAGAGCGTGATCTTGTTTGGACCGAGCCTAATGAGGAAAACGGTGGTGACACAGCACTGATGAGAGGCTGAGGGGGGAGGGGGGGTTGTTGATAACATACCAAGCAGTCCAACCGCCCCCCCCCCCCCCCCCCCCCCATCCCTCTATCTCCATCCCTCTGCTCTGATCCCATTGTTCTGCTTCCTGTACTAAAGCCGTCCTGCGTCTGCCCGCACACAGACACTCGGAGGGAGACAGGCCTGTTTTTTTTTTTTT